GCTTGCAAAAGTTATACACAATACAATACAATACAATAAAATACAATACCCTGACACTTGGGGCACAAAACGATGCTGGGACCCCACAGAAACTACGTCGGCTGACAACGACCATGATGATGCAATAACGCTGGGATTGATGCAATTTCGTAAAGGTGCCATGTGAGCCACCAATGGTGACCGGGTTCACTTACGTAAACTTACAATCTACCTTCGTCCACTGGAAAACGATCTTCCACTCAGCCCAATCAGAATGTTCTTCATCGTTATATGTTTCAGAAAAATGTTTCAGGAGAGCAACTACAATTATCACTTTTGGTGCAAGATTCCATTGGAAATGAACTTTGGGTACGGCTGGATTTCGAGTGGCAAATATGGTGTTAAAATTTGCCTAGACGACCAACGGTCTGGATTGGAGAGTAAAAGGACGACAAAGGAAGTGAAAATCCGGGCGCGTAGGAAGTGTTCCGTAAAACACTGGGTGTGTGGTTGAGGCGTACCAACAGAAATATGTCATGTTATCACTGAGTACAGTTTGTCCAAAACCTAGATTTGTCTCAGAGAATGATAGACAAATTGAAGAGCTTTTGCGGTTGGTCAGTTTGTTTCAACACGTGAATCCTAATGAAATCATTTGTCCTTACATACAGAAGAGTTTTTTAATCGTATCAGGCTGTGATCACGAAGACACCCATTGACCAATCAATGCTTCGACAGGGTCCATTTGCGATTGAGAGAAATGATCAACTCGCATAGGAGAGGAGCGCTAAATCACATGACTGAAAAGATAAACAGTCAATTTATGGGAAGCTAGAATCCGTACGTTCGGTGGAGTACGCCCAATAAGAACACCGGATTAAGGCTTTCAGAAAAGCTTACCCTGTGGTTATATCATTTTAGGATTGACCTGAGAAACGATCACTTCTGTGGGATCTGAACGACAGAACCAGAAACTCTCTCTCCACAAGACATATTATCCCTGAAAACGTGATGTGCAATTTCTTCAGCTTGATTTAGAAAACATGCAATAGACATCGGCTCTCGTATAATTGGCAAACTGTTACCATACCAATGTATACAATACAATACAATACCAATGTATCTGACACTGTTTCAATGACGAGTATAGATAGAGCTGGATGGAAGAGGAACTGACAACTCACCTGAAGCGCCAAAAACAAAGTGGTAAATGGCTCAATGCGTAGTAAGTAGCCTAACACGAAAGCAGCCGTGCTGTAATGTGTCCCATAATGAAACGGGGGTTGCGTGTCATCTTCCCAAGTGGCGTAACGCTCATCGAAATAGGCCTTGCGCTTCGGATCCAAAGCTCCGATCGGTTTGGACAAATCACGATAATTAGACGGTTCATTCAGATCCAAATTGGTACACGTGTAGTTGGTCAGAATCCATGGGAATATCGGATATTGATTCATATCGTTATATGTGCGACCGGCAATTGTGTTCAGGTACATCAGATAATCAAAATTGGACAATTCCCGTCGTTGCCAACGTGCAGTCATATTGGAGTCGAGGAACAGCTGTCGTGGATCAGCCATGGTTGTATTCCGAGAACGCGGCAGTCCGTACTTGGCCCCGATACCGACCGCTGGTAGAGCATTCACAACACGCTGCAATGTGGCCACTTCATCGAAAGCGAGGAATATTGAAGCTGTTGGAGAAGCGGTTGACATAGAGTTAGGGTGAAAAACCAAAGCATCAATCCACAGAGAGGCTTAAAAGAATAACTGCTGTTTTCGATAGATTCTATCGCACTTAGCGTAGTGGGACGTACTATGGCTTTTCCAAGGAAAGAAAGGTTTCGACCGAAGAGATTATACGCCAGTACTGACGTTGCCAATCGATAAAAAATTGTGACCCAAAGGCATTTAACTAGTACTATCAATGCATCATTTGTATTACATGATTTAAACTATTATCAGTATCAATACTGATATTATTATTAGTATACACTAGGAACATAATGACGCGTTCAGGATGAACGAAACCTCAAATTTTCAATCTCACCAATGATTGAGAGAAAAACGCTGGCTAACTGACGGGTAATGAGTAAACATTTTAAGCAACATCCGCGCTTTTATTCAATGGTTTACAGCAACACATGTGCAAATAGAGTTTAGTGGTAGGGAACAGAAAGACGCGTTCCCTGGTAATGATGAACACACAGTAAGTCACCGGCCCCCAATGGACTATGGTTTTGACACCCAGCACAGCTGCGTTGCGGATCAGACTTTGATTAAGCAAACGCTCCGGTTATGAATTCTTCAATGAAATTCACCTTTCTTGGCCTGGGCAACCTGGTAGTATTCCTAGCGGAAACAAATTATGCAACTTTTTCGGTTATGTAAACATTATTGTACTATGATTTATTATGCACACAGTATGGATTAAAGCGCATGTGAAATATAACAGTGATAAAAAAATGAACAGAAGATAGAATGGTCACTCAGAATGGAAATCGCGGGACATACATCGTGATGTAACGAAGATTTCCAATGCCAAGGTTCGGTGTAAATATCGTCGACTGAATACGGCCTGGATCTCAGCGAAAGACCATCGACTTCGAGTATTCTCGATATAGACCAGCACCTGAGTAAAAGAACGGATGATGTGTGGAAAATGGGCAGGGTAAAAAGCGACAAGTATAGAAGGGAGGAAGAATACGTGTGAAGGGAGTAAAACTAGGTAATACTGAACGCATATATAGAATGCTGATGTGTGCATACTGATACATATTCACTGCCGCACTGAAATATAATATATACCACGTAAAATTGAGAAAGACAGCAACAGCTGTAAAGAGGAATATAAGGTTGACGACTCGTTATTTTCGCTGTGCTGGAAGCTGTACAATTCGGGGGTAACTGTTACAAGAAAAATAAAATTGTCCAGATAATTTATCATTCACTACTGTCCTAAGGTTTCCAAAAAATGTTTCCTTTTTTCCTTCAAACAATCTGACTCCAATCGCTTTGTCCAACATACCAAAGGAGATATACTAAGATGAAGCCGATAGTCGAAAAGGTGATTAGGGTTTATGGAATGCTTCTGTTTCAATTCTTCATTTCAATGCTTGCATGCATTTAATCAGCCTTATTCGACCCCACAGCATAGAGCACGCGAAAATGACACCAGTAACAGACTTCTCACGATTTAGCTCCAAACAGCAGCAGTAGGCAGTCTCGGTATTTGAAAGCGTTCGGATATCCACCACATGACCTTTCACGAGAGTGAAGAAAAGAACTACACCATTTTGAGTTAGATTTCAGAAACCGTAATTTTCATTTGCGAAACCGTCATTTTGAATTGAGAAATCATAACTTGGAATTGAGGAAGAATCGCTGTGGTTGGATCCGCTTCCTTTCAGCACACCTCATTGGTCAATTGATCACACATTTTTTCTACCCCCGGATTGACCACCTATCTTCCCACGCTCTTTCTGTGCTGAAATGAGACCGACCTCAGTCGTGCATCTTGTCGAGTTCTGTGACGGACGTCGAATCGGTGGGTCGGTGAAGCCATTTTATTTGCGTGTGACAACCAAGTCGGACGCCACTCGATACGCATGAAGAGTGACGCACTGTTTCGTGCCCACTACAGCTATAGTACATTTGCTCGTAGTTGCGCTAACATTCACGATAGCTCAATAATCAAAACTGATCACAGTAACTAAGACCGGGGACGAGTTTTGGGCTTACGGTGCAATCCGAGCGGTGTGCGAGAATCATGGGTCTATGTGAATAACGATATATTTGTTCAGTGACAGGAGTTGGAGTTCTTGAGATGAAGTTGGGTGAATGGGCTGGCTATCGTCAATGACTTAGCAACCAAAACCAGTTCCACCTGGAGTGTACCTCGCCCATTCCTGGATCAGCGCACAGAACTGAACGAAACAGAACGCAGTCAATATGTTTGTTAAAAAGGGTTACTCGGTTTCAGAATAAGTATTGTTGCGTAAGAAACATCGACAAATGACATTTTTTAATACACAATGTGAATTACAGTAAAAGGGGAAATCCCCGTGGACAAACAGTATACTTTAAAAGGGAGAGTGTGAGAACATTCACGTAAAATCCAGGTTATTGACTCTGTGTTTAAAAAGTTTAAGATTGCAATTTAGGGAAAAACAAGTGGGACGGTGTTCCACAGTTTAGCAGTTATGAGGTAAAAGAAGATTGGAGCAGAGAGGTACGTAATCTGTGAACAGAAACCTGATAAAGGTGACTGGATGCCTGTGTACGGGATGGGCGGATAAAAGTTGCAGGAAGAGGAATTGCCGAGGCACGTTCCGAGGAACAAAAACCAAATCGTTAGCGGTAGAACGCGGACAATGAAGCAACTGCCTGACGATGGGCTAGTGACCGCAGACAGGATGTTAGGTTTGGACCATCGATTAGCCGGATGGCTTTCGTTGAACATGATCCGGAAGGGAAACGGAAGAGGACGAAGCCCCAACCCACATGTGACTGCAGTATTCAAGAGCAGAGCGGAGTTGAGCTTTGTACAATAGGAGATGAGTTCGGGTGAAAAAGCGTCTGGCGCGAAATATAAATCTAACCTCGGGTGCAGCACCAGAAGCAAGCTTAGCTATAAAAGGGAACCAGCATAGAGAAGAAGTTATAGGCAATTCAAAAAGGGAAACAGAGTCTGTGGAGTGCAGTTGGGTGGAAAGAAAAGATGAATGGGGTGAGAATGGATTCTGTTTTAAAGTAATTAACAAACACATTGACTGCGTTCTGTTTCGTTCAGTTCTGTGCGCTGATCCAGGAATGGGCGAGGTACACTCCAGGTGGAACTGGTTTTGGTTGCTAAGTCATTGACGATAGCCAGCCCATTCACCCAACTTCATCTCAAGAACTCCAACTCCTGTCA